CTTTTACAAAAAATTTCATAGTTAGGGAAAACTAATTAAAACTTATGATAGATGATCCTATGGTATGTGAGTGAGCGTATGTATGCACCTGGTATGAAGCGGTGGCTGTACCAAATAGAAAACCTTTCGGAAAACTATTCCGGCTAAGAGAGTTAGTTTTGGGGCACACGGGACCATCGGCGATAGCCGGAGAGCCGCCGAAGGTTAAGCTCAGAAGAAGCCCCAAGAGAAGAAATTTTGGCAGCCACATTTTTTCTAAGTTATTTTTGCAAGCTCAAAGGAAAAAGTATTGGGAATGGTGTTTGTACACTAATGAAGTGAAGCATAATAACCTCTTTAAATAGTACCTTAAAAAGTCATTAGTGTTATAATAATCAACAAAAGAAGGCTTCTTCAAAGTCAGAGAAAGAAGCGTATACGCAATTAAATCAAATATGTGGAGCCCACCGTTCATTTGTTTCGATACAATTATCTCTAATAGTAATAACTAGGGAAAATCCACGTTCTAATAGTAATTAAAAAGTGTACTTAATAGACTTTTTTTTATTGCAGAATTAATTTAATCTTATAATATTTGTAAATGAGAAATTCAAAAGTAAATAGCAATTTTAAATTATTTTATGTGAAATTATTTTAAAACATATAAAGTTTTATCGTGCTATTAAAATATTAATCTATTAAACATAATAAAAATTTATATAATGACATTGTCGCATGTCGCCAATAAAAAAGAATTGAAAGATAATTTGATATTAAATGTTTACTTTAAATTAATATATTGATATCATATTTTTATTTTAAAGAATCAATACAAAACCCCTAAAATCTAGAAAGACTAATGTCAAAATTAAGTAAACATAAGGTCCTAAATTAAAAAATAAAAAGTTATTAACACAAAAAATGAAACATGGCAACCTCTCATGAGTTGGGTTTAGAAAAACCTTAAAATATTATATAAGATAAAATTCTTCTATTTCTCACTATATTATTCCCATCGGATATAATTTTTTTTGTCTTTATTAATATTTATTGAAATGATAAATTAAGAGTGTCTTAAAATTAAAAATAATTAAAAAATAATTTAATTAAGTGCACCCGCTATCAAAAGATTTTATGGGAGAAACTTAATGAACTCTCCATTTAGGTGTCAAAATGTTTTAATCTTAAAAAAAATTTAAGACTATTTATAAGTGTTTTGTATAATGTTGGTTTTTGTAACGCCCCGACCGCTATCGATCTATCGGTATGCAGGAGAAATCCTCATCCCCTAACATACAAGAAAAAATTTCATCCATTCTGAAGAAAT